GTTGCTAATACTAGTGATAAGCAGATCTTAATATACTCTTTTTTTTTCCTGAGTCCAGTGATTTTTAATGGTTTTAGTGTTTGTTGTTTTACAGATTAGACTTTTTATCTTCATTTTAAAGATGAGGAAAAACTCAGAGTTATTAAGTCTCAAAGCTGTTTTAAAATGTAGATGTTAACCATAACTTTCTATCTGGAATGCAGAATATTAAAATATTTTCATTTTCTATAGTAAAGGTTTTTCTCTTTTTTATTAGTGATCATCAAGATATTACCAATGGGAAAAAAAGATCTCCCCAGGTAAAATCATCTACCCATGAATCTCACAAACACAAGAAATCAAAGAAATCTCACAAAAAAAAGCAGAAAAAGAAGTCACACAAAAAACAGAAGAAAAGCAAAAAGGAAGTCACAGATATAACAGCAGATTCCTCAAACGAGTTCTCAGAAGAAACTGGGGCTTCTAGTACCAGGAAACAACCACATAAGCGTAAGAAAAAATCAAGGAAAAAGTCTCTCAAAAAGTCTGCTCTCGTTTTAGAGGCAGAAAGTGACACTTCTCAGTCTGATGACTCAGCATCCAGCAGTTCTGAGGAAAGAGACACTAAGAAAACCAAAAGGGAAAAAAAAGATAAAGTCAGTATCCCTGTAGTTAGCAATGAAATACAGGAGAGGACAAAAACAAACAAACGTACAAATTGGAAAGTGGCTACAGATGAAAGGTCTGCTGAGAGTTCGGAGGATGACTAAATGAGAAAGTCTTCAGTTCCCACTGACTTGGATATTGACAGCTCTTGCACCTTGGGGCTTTGCCGATGACTCTTGTGCAGCACAGGGGGCCTGAGGGCGGAGTTGTCCTGTGCCATCTGTGTACATCTGACAGACTTGTCTTCTATTTTGGCCTGTTAAACTTGATCCTCTTATTGTTAATAGGGAATCTGGTATTTTGTTATGAAGGTTTCTTGAAGAGATTATTTTTTGCAGTTAATTACATTTAGCGTAGAGTGTATATACAGCAAATTAAAGGACCCAGGAGGCAGAATCCAATAATGACCTGGGTATACCAGTTAGAATGTTGAGTTTGGGGAAAGCGAAGGCTAGGATCACGAGGTAGATTGGAACCAGTGCTGTGCGGAATGTATGCTAAGGGAACATCCAGTTGCTCTTGTTTGGTTTATATTGCAGGTGCCACTTTGTCTCAGCCTTGGTGCTTTGATCTTTCTGTATTTTGGCCCCATTGGTCTGGTGGTTTATTTAATGGGGAAATGAGCATAAGAACCAATATTTTACCTTTACAACACCCATAGACAGCTGTTATCAGCAGAGACTAGTGTTTTCTGTTAAATTTTCCTGCTGGTCAGGGACTGTAGCTATATTCAGTATACCCATAAACATGGTAATTGGATAGTAAATGTCTTTTTTCTTTTTAAATTCTTTATGGATAGTAAATGGTTTTCTAGTTTCATTGCTGTATATTGCCTAAATGGACTTGTGTTCAAAAATTACTTCTTTTCCGTTAAGTCCTTAACAAATGGGGAAGAATTAGGAGTCAGTCATGTAATGGTGCTCTGAATGGGCTTCAGGGCAGCATCTGCCATTTAAATGTCTTCCTTGTTCATTTTTCAATCTATTAATGAACTTTAGATTTTCCCTGAAACTAGGTTGAATCAAATCCAAAATGAAAGACTTCTCAGGGACATAGCTACTTCTTTTCCAGCTTGCCTTTGGATTAAAGCACCAAGCAGAGACCATATTATTCCTTTTGCTATATGTGTAATCCCTACTATGTTAATTCATAATAACACTGAAAGAAGGCTGGCAGAACACAAGTTAATTTTTTCATTATGGCAGAAGATTAAGTGACATGTTGTTTTTCCTAGTTGTCACTTCATGGGCTGAGTAAAAAGCTTGAAAACTCACTTGTCTTGGTTCTGCCACTAATTGGTTATGTGGTCTGGAGTAGGTAAGTTCACCTCTCTGGCCTTCCTTTGAACCCCATATGTAATATGCAAATACTTCATGGCGATATGACATTATAGGACACCAGCAACAGAATATAACTATGACATCATTCCACGAGGTGGTAAATTTTATAGTTCTGCTAAATTTCTTCTTTACAGATTGCTAACAAAATGCTTGGTCATGAAGTACATGGTTGGCTAGAGGTTCCTGATCCCAATTACAAGCAGGTGCTACCTTTGGGGCTATTTATTTGAAATATTAATACTTTGGTACTCAACTGTCAATGTTCAATGGTATATATTTTTACCTTTGGGATTAGTAGAGACCCAAGGGAGGAAGAGCAGTCTATAATTACTACCTCTTAACCTAAAGCAGTTTTGTTCTTGGAGCAAGTGAAATCTTTGTTGGAGGGAGTGTTCACTTTTTTTTCTTTTTTAAACATTGTTTCTGTGCTATAAAAGTACTGAGTCTCAGCAGACTCAGGAGAATGGGTGAATGGGACAAGGCATCTCCAGGAAGTTGGTTCTGTTTGGGTCTTGCCCTTCCCTTCCTCCCATAGTAGCAGACTTCTCTTTCCCAATGAATACACATTTTGCTTGTTTTGTTTTTTGCCATGTTTACCTTTACTTGGTCATGTATAAGCAATAAAGCTGTTTTCTGTTCTTCACCTTTCTCAACCCTAAATTTTCTTCTATGCCTTAGGCTAAGGCTCTGATGTTTCTTCCAGCCCCTTAAATACCATTTGCACTACTAGCCCTGAACATATTTAGTCCTAGTGTTTCTGCCAATCAGATCTTATTAAATACTAAAGTGGGATTTTAAAAATAGAGTCGGAGAACTCACATTTATTGAATAATTGTTGTGATACAATGTGGAGTTTCTGAATTCCAAATAAATAAATTTCACTTTTGAATTTTCGATCTGTTACTTTTTAGCACCAACAGGCTTGGTAATAGCCTGAAGTTGACCTGACAGTGGGTTGACAACTTTCCATAACTGGCCCTTCAATCTGCTTAATAACAAGTCCTTTGCTGCTTCTGTCATTCTCCTAGGGAATGGCCTACTGCCCTCCTTTCTGTACAATCTGGGCAAAACGACTGGTGATGGCGAGAGTAGTGTCAATGAAGCGGTCCACACAGCTAGAGAGACAATTTTCAGTACGAGAGTCTAGGCGATTCCCTGGCTTTTCCACACATTTATCCCAACATAGCTCCATGAAGTGGTGCACCTAAGAGGAAAGAAAAGCAGTAACCATTAGGGCCTGTATATAGGTCTACCTGCCAATTTTCTTATTTCCTTCCCATTTTCATTTTCTGTCACCTAATTAAAACATTCTTTCAATCAACAAACCATGGGCTCTCCTCTTTCCTCACTTCCTACTGTCCCCAAAATGGTCCAGATCCTCAGCCCTACATTGCAACAATTCTTTTACCCTCTCCTTTTCTATTTTTCTCTTCAGTAATTACAAAATACTTTGCATCAAGTCACCTGTGTTTGCTTAATCATCAGTTTCTCTGTTAGCTATTCAGGGCACTCCCTTATTTAACCCCCACCCATACGGTTTCAATGAGGCCCACAGAGCATACCTAACTTGACTCTTTTTTTGTTGTTAATCCTCACCTGACGATATTTTTTTCCATTAGAGAGACTGGAAGTGGGGGTTGCCTCCCCCACTATTCCCGACTGGGCTGGGGATCAAACCTACAACCCAGGTACCAGGAATCGAACCTTCTGTGTTAGGGCTGAGGCTCTAACTGAGCTACACTGGCTAGGGCTCAACTTGACTCTTAATATTCTTGAAGGCCCTCCCTAAAGATTTTACCAATTCTTCAAAACAGTTCGAATTCTTACTTGCCTGAAGGCCACTGCCTATTATTTTCTACTTGTGTCAAGTCCTCAATCAGACTGTAAATTTTCAGGCAGAATTAATTACCTTTTTTTTTTTTAAATCCCAAACTAGCACCAGTGTAAGCTGAGAAGGTATGGTACCAATTAATTCCCCAAACCACTGCACCCGTATCATTCTAAATCTATCCCTTCTTGGGTTCTTAACCTTTTTGAGAATCCAATGGATCCACTCTCCAGAAAAATGCACATACAGGCACAGAAGATGTATGCACTTTCATAATGTTCAGGACTCAAAGATTTCTAACGCGGGGGGGGGGGGGGGGGGGGGGGCAGGGGGCGGAGAGGAGAGAAAAATATCATTTACCAAGAGTTCACTATTTGGGGAGGCTGAGAACTAGGCACTCAGTCGATCCTTTTTGCGGTAATAAAAGATGACTTGTCACCTTCGCTGAAGAGGCGCGGTAGGTAATCAGCCCTAAGTAACGCGGCTAATGCGGCACCGGGCCGGGGTTCCGTGCCGAACGAGCTCCAAAGCTCTTGTAGACTGATTACTTCAGAGCCCCCCCCCCAGCCCCCCAATAAGGTTCTACCGGTTTCAAATACATTATCGAGTCTGGTCCTCACAGTGCAGTAAGGGACCGGGCGACTGCGAAACCAAGTCGCGTCGTGGCTGGGTGTCCGCCTGGAGGCACGTGGCACGTCAGCAGCAGAGGCACGATTCGAACCTAGATCTCCCGAATGTCAGCCCAGAGGGCTCGCCGCCCAGCTCGGCTCCCGGACCCTTGCGCCGCCCAAACCTTTCTTTTCTGCTTCACACCTACTTCCCCCACCGGGGCTTGCTTAACGGCCCCTGGGCCCCGCCGCGCACCAGCGGCTGGGGTGCCGCGACTCGCTTCTCTTGCGAGGAAACCGGGCCTGGCAGGGACACCGGGCGACCTCCCCGCGGCCGCCTGGGGCCTGGACTGCAGCCTCGTCTCTCTTCACCCTGGTCCCTGTCCCGCACCTGTGCAGTGAACTGCGCCTTCTGCTGCTCGGCCGCCACCAGGCGCTGCAATTCCGCTTCGTCGGCCTCCCCCAGCTCCGCCATTGTCCACCTCGGGGCTCCGCACTTCCGGTCACGTGTGTGCGCAAGTGCGGCGGCCGCACACCGACTCCCGGCTCCCAACTCCCGACTTCCGGTTCACCAAGCGTTTTCCTTTTCCTTGTTTTCTTTCGAGTGGTGGTGGTGGGCGGTGCCTGTGACTGCTTCCGGGTTGCTGGATGACCTTGAACCTTCAGGAGCGAGATGGCGAGCGTGTGGAGGCTGAGTGTCCTCTGCGGTGCCCGAGGAGGCCGAGGTGAGGGGCCGGGGGCCGGGGCTCC